TTTGCGGTATCCTTCCCCTGCCATGCCCACCAAGCAACGCCCACAGAACTGATAGTAAAAAAAATGAATTTCATCACTGGGCAAAATTCACTTAAATGGTTCATTTAAAAACAGAAATGTTGGACTCAATTGCAGTCATAAGTTGAGGACCACCTCTATCTATCTATCTATCTATCTATCTATCTATCTATCTATCTATCTATCTATCTATCTATCTATCATCTATCTGTCTGTCTGTCTGTCTATCTATCTATCATCTATCATCTGTCTGTCTGTCTATCTATCTATCTATCTATCATCTATCTATCTATCATCTATCTATCTATCTATCTATGAATGAATGAATGAATGAATGAATGAATGAATGAATGAATGAATGAATGAATGAATGAATGAATGAATGAAAATTTTGTATGGCCGCCCAACTCACTTTTAGTGATTCTGTCATTCTTACAACGATAAAATCCAATAGTCACTCAAATAATCCATCTGCAGGGCTCCATCCCATTCTGGGTTCCTGGGGCCCATTTAGCGTTTTGGGGGTTGTTGTTGTTTTTGTCTTTCCAGCGTCTTCTCTGAAACCTTGAAGCGCGATACAAGAAGGTTTCTGCTCTTGACTGTTGCTCTCGAAGAGAAAAAGATGCCATTTGAACCATGACAGATGTCTAAATCAGTAGTCTAAATTTTTATCATCACAGGGCTATTTTTAAAGATTTGGTTTCGGAAGGATGGAAACTTCTGCTGGCTTGTTGTCACGCAGAGGGCAACTGCAGGCCATGGTTTAAAATTTCTCACCAGTGCCAAAGGAGTAAGAGGCGCTGCTGTTTTGAAAAGCTCTCCTTTTACTATTTCGTATCCGTTGGCCTTTGTGCTTCCCTGTAAACATCACAGTCTGTTGACCAATATAGAAAGGCAGTCCTCAATCTACAACCACCATTGGAACCTGAATCTCCCTGGTGGTTAAGTGAGTTGTGCCAGATTCTATTTAGCTTTTTTGCTATGGTTGTTAAGTGAATCACTGCAGTTCTTTAAGTGAATGTTGTTAAACAAATCCAGCTTCCCGCATTGACTTCACTCGTCAGAAGCCAGCTAGTACACAGAACTACTGCAACCACTGAGTAACCACTGAGTAACCACCGAGTAACCACCGAGTAACCACTGAGTAACCACTGAGCTGCAGGGACACAGTGGTTAGAGTGCAGTACTGCAGGCTACCTCTGCTTGCCAGCTGCCACCAGTTTGGCAGATCGAATCTCACTAGGCTCAAGGTTGACTCAGCCTTCCATCCCTCCGAGGTCGGTAAAATGAGGACCCAGATTGTTGGGGGCAATACACTGACTCTGTAAACTGCTTAGAGAGGGGCTGTAAAACACTGTAAAGCGGTATATAAGTCTAAGTGCTGTTGCTAAGTGCTAAAAGGTGATCACATGATTCCTGGGATGCTGCAACTATCATAAATAATGCCACTTGCCAAGTGCCCTAATTTTGATCACCTGACCGTGGAGATGCTATGATGGTCGTAAGTGTGAGGCCCACCTATAAGTCCCTTTTTTCCAAGTGTCATTGTAACTTCAAATTGTTGCTAAACTGTTGTGAATCAAAGCCACCTGTATATACCCGAGTATAGAGCCCTATGAATTTATTTATATTTTTCAGTGCCTCCTGAAAAGCCAACCAACATTTCTTGCTGGTCCAAGAATTTGAAAGACCTCACCTGCAGATGGGTACCTGGGTCAGAAGGCGAGACACACCTGCATACCAATTATTCCCTGAAATATAAGCTGAGGTAGGCTGATGGCACGGGCATAGAAGGGGTGATAAGTTGGTGATTTGCCCTTTAAAATGAGCCGCGGTGGCGCAGTGGTTAGAGTCCAGTACTGCAGGCTACTTCTGCTGGCTGCCTGCAATTTGGCAGTTCAAATCTCACCAGGCTCAAGGTTGACTCAGCCTTCCATCCTTCTGAGGTGGGTAAAACGAGGACCCAGACTGATGGGGGCAATAGGCTGACTCTGTAAAACCGCTTAGAGGGGGCTGTAAAAGCACTGTGAAGCGGTATATAAGTAATTACTATTGCTATTGCTATTATCATGTTTCCCCAAAAATAAGACAGGGCCTTATTTTCTTTTGACCCCCAAAATAAGCACTTAGCCTTATTTTGGGTCTTATTATTTTTGAGGTGCAGGAGGCGGGAAGCGTGGTCACCTCATGGCTGCTGCTGTGTTGCAATATTTTCGGGGAGGGCTTATTTTCGGGGGGGCTTATTTTAACGCACCGGGGAAGTGTTATTTTTAGGGAAACAGGTTGAAGAAAAAACACCGAATGAGATGGACTTTCGTAGTCTTATTGAATTTCAGACAATTCTTCCTGACCTGGTATCAGTCAAAACAGGATTGTGATCTCTATGCTGGCTGGGGAATTCTGGGAGTTGAAGCCCACATATCTTAGCATTGCCGAGGTTGAGAAGCAGTGATTTAGGGCAGGGGTCCCCCAACCCATGGTCCACGGACCGGCACCAGGCATTGGCATGCCAGCAACCAAACCGTGCAAATAAGCAGTTCGGTATAGTGCTTAAAGTGCTGCCTAGAAACCAGGAGGTTGTGAGTTCTAGTTGCAGCTTAGCCACAAAAGCTGGCTGGGTGACCTTGTGCCAATCATTCTCTCTCAGCCCAACATACCTCACAGGGTTGTTGTGGGTAAAATAGGAGGAGGAAAGAAT